TTAATTGTAGTATTTTACATTGTCTTTGTTGTAACTACCAGGTTTAATCTTGAAAATCATTACAACAGTAGAGTAAATGATGTGATGAAAATAGTATAATAGTCTAGATGACAACAACAACAAAAAAAGTATAGTCCACATGTTGGGCCTTCAGTTCTCCAGGAAGCATAATAACCCAGATGCATAATAATGCCATGTATGCTTTATTAGTCTTTGGAAAAATAGCCCACGAGTTAAAAAACAGACAAGCTGCAGGGAGACATTTAAATTTAGGGACATTACCTGTACCAGTGAACTGCAGTGAAAGAAAAATGGTTGGTGTGTGATGAGCTTGATGCGGTTCCTCACCAGGAACCGTCAGCAGCCACTGCAAGTCCCAGCTGCTCTGTAGTTAAGCCTGAGCTTCACAAGTGCTGAAAACTACTGTCAGGTACAGGTGATACTGGTGTTTGTCCCCTCCTTCAGGATGTTTCTCATCTTGTACTTTCTGCCCACGCTGTGCACAATCACGCTGCCAAGCAGCAAGGGACAGGGGAAGTGCCGTCTACTGCAGAAGAAGGGAGATAGGTAAAAGTGCTGCAGAGCAGCTTCCTTCCAAATTGCTTCCAGATGTGTAGGTCTCTTCTGTCTGCTTCATTGTTTCATAGCAAGGAGGAGACCAGCTTACCAGTCAGTCTACAGGCGACTAGAGAGATCATCACGTTTCTCCTCCCACCTATGGTATGGGTCCTTCCAGTGTCTCTCATCTCCATGGTGCAGGAGAAGCTACTTTGGAGGGGGGTGAGCAGACACTGATCCATCTGGCCTGAGTAATGGGGATCCTTGCTGCAGAGTCACGTGTGTATTTTTCCTTCCAGACAGCAGACTCGTGGTCAGGGCTCTGGGTCAGGGCAGAGCATGTCTGACTGCCCTGAAGGATTCACCTCAAGTGCTGAGCACAGGGCTTGGAAAATGGGGAGAACAAAATTAAAAGGGGGACGAAACTGGTGTTTCCGTTAACTGTAGAGACATCTTGCACTTAGAGAATGTGACAGGCCTGCACTGAGTATGAGGATGATTGTAATACCTCTAATGTTTGCTTTGTGTGTTTGGATTGCAAGCTCTTTGGCCCAAGTACTGTGTCTCATCATGTATTTACACAGATCCAAGCACAGCAGGTCACTAGTCTCAGTAGGGGCCTCCAATCTCAAGTGATAATAATGAACTGGCTTTCTTCTAAGTGTTAGTTACCCAAACAATACTGTGTTCCATTGTGCAGCATTGTTTTTATTAGGTTTTTTTTTTTTTTCAGTTCAAATGAAATAAAAACATTGTCCAGCCAAACACTGAGGAACAATATGTGTGCTCATCTCCTGCTGGGAAATAAAAATTCAAGAGTTTCAAATACCAGTGCTTCCTGCCCCCTTTAGTCACTTTGAGGACTTGTGTCTGATGATAAAATGCTTTAAATCCATTTTAAACCTTGTCCGGGCTGGCATTCCTTGCCTGGATCTTAGCAACACAACAAAGCTTGCTTTGAAAATCTCTTAGAGAAGCAACCCCTAGTTCATGTAGTAGATACTTATGTGAAGAAGCCCAATTTATTTGTATAACAGCTGCTTGAATGCACATTTGCAGACTCTATCCCAGCATCTTTTAAAACATGTGATTTAACTTTAAAACTGAAGAAGTCTTTCAGAAGGGTGCAAATGAACCTGTTCTTTTGAACCAAAAGATACATTTTATTTAATGAAAAAAAAACCCAGAAGACAATCCAGAATATCTCCACTAAACTCATTTTACTAGAAGCAAAGGGTTTTTTTGCCATGCACTTGTATGTGAAAGGTCTGTATATTTTTTTCTGTTCTGCTGAACATTATTATTAGAAGTTGATTGTGCATGTAGCTATGTGCGAGATCTATCTTCAGTATGGTGAGATGCTGGAAAATGCATTTTGGGTCTTATCTGATTGTTTTGCAAAGCATACAAATGCTTCTACTTTAAAAATGTAGATCAGCAATGTTGCCTTCAGCATGAAACCACCCAATGTAGCCAAGGCATAATTTTATTATCCCAGATGAAAGACAAATATGACCTCATTGTATTTTGTATGAAAAACATTGAGTCTGTCTGGTTCCTGCAAGCTTGCTGAGCTGTGTTATTCACTAATGTTTGGCATATGATAACTTTTTCTGAGGCTAGTGTGCAGAAAGAAACTAAGGCCAGGTTGGAGCTGCCATCTATTTCCGTGGTTTTACTCTTGCCCTTCGAGTTCTTTGTCAGACAGTTGCAGTCTGCTACAGTACAACTCCAGTTGTTTTGTGTAAGCGCATCCCAGCTACAGTCAGTTCTCTTCCAGAGTGCTAAAAGACGTAGGTTGTGTTTAAAGGCTGGAAAGGTCTGGCCTTAGCTGCTGGGACACAGGCTTTTCTTTCTTTGATCTATTATAAGAGGTGATATTCTTTAAATCAGTTATCTTAATGAGAGCAAACTTGCCAGCACTGACAACAGAGCATTTTCTTAGGCAGATCTGCACAGATGTGTGAGCAGTATCCTTCTGTATGGGAGTTGCCTGGGCACGAACCACCCCAGGCAAGGAGCTTCCTCACTGCAAGAGTCTGGTGCAGGTTTATATGCCCTGCAACAAAGGTGCATTAATTCACTGCGGGAACTGGGCCGCAGGGGACACGGCTGATGCCCCACCAGCTCGGCGCAGCCATGAGCCCACTGCTCTCTGCAGGGCCAGCGTGTGCCAGGCTCCGTATGCCCAGCCCTGAGCTCTTGGAGAGGCTGCTGAGGGTTAGACATCTCTTTGTCTTTACAGCGAGCTCTCTGCTAGGGTTGTGGGAACTGGAGTTTTCAGCAAGGATGAAACATTATTATTGCCGTGTACACTTCCATTTTGGGGCAAAACCAGCAAATCGAAGTGAAACAGATGAAGTTCACATATTTAGGGAAAAAATAATTTCTAAATTACAGCTTCATTGTTCTGATGATTCCATAAATACAATTTTTTTCAAGGCTGATGTTTCATTTTTGGTATTTTAGAACAGAGTTGCCATGTTTGCCTCCTCAGTTTGTGAATCTTTGAAGTTTTTTTTATTTTTTTCTTATTTTTTCTTGTTGGAAACAATTGTAACGAAGTAGGTTCTCATCTACTTTAGTGTTTTCCAAATAGAAGATATAAGATGAAAATTAAAAGGTAGAGAACTGAAAGGCAAATTCCCCTACATTCACTTTTTTTCTACTGTTCTGTTTTCTCGTTTACTGTAAAAAAGTGAAAAATATATTTCCCTACTTTTGTTGAGCTTCACTGAAGAAAGAAAGAAAAACAAGCACACAAGCATTTTCCAAGAATAATGACATTAAATATAAAGTGTAAGATTCATTTTTTCAGTTCAGCAATGTTTAGTTTTCCATAATAGTTTTGGAAATGCCCATATTTTTAAGAACATCTGTTCTTTCGATTTACCTGTTAGTTCCAGTTGAAATTTTTTAAGTAGCTCTACTTGAATCAGTTGAGTGAAGAGCCTCTAGAAGAAAAAAAAAAAGTATACACACTTAATGAACAACAAAGTTAGTGATCTGTAGCAATTACCCAAGTGACTAATTTTGTTTCATTAATGCACCCCAAAGCACCAAGCTGTTTTGTCAATGGGCACTGCAGGGCCATTGCAATGCTCAAAGAGACAGTTATGTTACCAACCGCGGTGTAAGGGATAGGTTTAACAACAAGGAGGGAGAGAGAAAGTAGCTTAGCGTAAGAAGAAAATTAAAGGCCATCTATTATTGTCACAGAAGCCAATGGCAATACTTGTAAAGATCTAGCAGAGCAGGGTCACAGTTTTTTCTGGCTTTTCCAACTTCCAGTTTCTTGATTACTCTGGTTTTTTTAAGAGGGCATCTTGATGCGCATAGCATCTCAGTTTGAAAGGGGAAGGAGGGCATGTACCTGGCTTACTTGAATCCTTCTCGGAAGAAAGTAGAAAAGCAGATAGCAGACTTGAAGGCAAAGCTGTATTATAACATCTGGGCATCTCTGGATCACTCGATATGGGACACACACAGCATGTGATATATTAAGGTGAAGTATTGAATATCCATAAAAGAGTACTAGCAAATGGTGTCAATTTTCAAACGCTTTGCTTTGTCAGCTTCACAAATTTAAAATCAATCATCAAAAAGTCTCTGTATAGATCAGCTGAAGAGACATAAAACCTTATGGCTATCTCCCTGACAAAAAAAGTTGAAGTTAAAGATGAGTTTATAAAGACACAGATTGTCAGAATTCTGTAGTGCTAAAAACTGGGGTCATCCAACCTCTCAGTTTAGAAATAAATACTGAGGAAAAACAATGACACCCAGTGCACTGCTAATAAATACATCTTGGAGGACAGTTGAACACACAGAAAAACAGGTTTCACAGAGAGGCTTATTTTCAGCATGAATGCCATTTTCTCACTACATTATCATAAACATGAGAGAAAAAACAGCTATAAATAAAAAATTCTTGGGCAGTCCCTGGAGACTTGTCAAAAACTTGTAGTTTTTGTATGCTGCAGTGTAAAAGTATTCATTAAAATTAATTTTTAAAATGCCCTGTCCAATATTAGTTGCCTGATGTCCTTCCTTTGATCATAAATTATAAATGAACCCGCAAAGAATGAAGAAACTGTGACTCCATTAATTAATTATTTAAGTGCGATTGTTAGTTTTCACAATCATTCAGCTAATAAGCTCAGGCTTGTGACATTGAAGTGTTTCTCATTTGAGGGTGATGTTGATGGCAATGTTATTAACACCATTATCAGTGTGTCCCATGAAGCATAAACCCAAGCAGCTCCTTTGGTGGCTACGCAGTGGCATGGCTGCTGGAGCTTTCATTGGGTCTGTACTGCAGGAGAGGGAGTTGACACTGAGGAAAGTTAGTGTGAACAGGGTTCACTGGGTGGCTCCCCCCAAGGCAACACTTTAAAAAAACACAAGCAGCATACTGACACGAGAGGATCTTCTCCCCGCAGCAGCCTGCCCGTGCCAGCAGCACATGCGACTGGCTTGGCCCATTCCAGCGGCGGCTCCGGGAGCTCCAGCGAGTCCGAGAGCAGCTCTGAGTCCGACTCTGACAGCGAGAGCAGCTCCAGTGACAGCGAGTGCAACGAGGAGTCGCGCAGTGCCACGCCAGAGGTAAAGCCACGCTCTCAGCTCCTCCCCAGTGGAGGCTCAAAGAGGGAAGTGTGGAACAGAGTGCAATCCTGCTCCCTAATAGGAAAATGTTGGAGTTCTGTGCTGTTTGATGCTGTCAACTTTTTTCTCCCTTTACAGTTTTACATGTATGACCCACATAGTCATTCGAGCTTTTGGAAGAATCCTTCTAGCCGACATTTGAATTGCTTTAAAGAAATATTTAGATTTTTTTTCCAGTAGCTAGAGAAGATTTTATTGACACAGTGTTCAGCTGGGACTAAGGAAAGGCAACGTGACAAAACTATGTCTTCAGGGACCAGCTAAACTTTCTAGTTGTATTTCTCCAGGGCCACATTGTAAACCAGATAAGGAAGCCTAATTAACCATAAATACTCCATAAATACTCCCATAAAACTAGCAGTCACCACTAGTTGAAATAAAAGAGTAAGTCAAAAATGTTCTCATTTAAAGGGAAAAGCATTGCTTCTTTTTGTTCCTTGTTGTTCTTCAAACTGCAGCCTGAACCTCCCTCAACAAACAAATGGCAGCTGGATAAATGGCTAAATAAAGTGAACCCCCACAACAAGACCATCATCAACAATCAAAATGAGCCTCACAGCGAGACCAGCTCCCAGGCCCAGAGCAACCAGCAGGCCGAAGGGCCAAACAAAGGGAAGCTCAACAGCAGCCTGCCCCCAACTGATTCCAAAGACCGGGCAATCCTTAGTCCCATCCGAGAGAAAGCCAAACCACGGGTTGCCCAGAAAACCCCAGAGGCAAAAAGCTCCAAGCAAAAGTCACCAGCTCATAATGAGCCAACTTCACAAAGGACTACTGGGAAAAAGCAACCCAAAAAGGTAGAAAGGACTTCCAGTGTAGAAGAGTATAACTGGCCCAAACCAAATAATACCAGCAACACTCCCAAAGAAAAAGACACACAGGAACCCCCCGAGCAGCCAAAGGTTCGAACTAAAGCAGCAGTTGGGAAGACCGCTCCAAGGAAAGAACCACGAACTAGCACAGGTCTCACTTCAGAAAAGAAAAAGTACAGAGGCCCTAGCAAAATTGTTCCTAAGTCCCGGGAATTCATTGAAACAGATTCATCTACTTCTGACTCAAATACAGACCAGGAGGAGAGCTTGCAGGCTAAGGTATTGCCAGCTTGCACTGGGTCTGGCAATGGTGTCAAAGTGAAGGACACTGGCAGTAACATCCTCAGCGTAAGTAGTTTAACTAGCAATGGCAGCAACACATCCATTGACCAGACCAGCAATGACTTGGAGGAGCAGCTCTTTTCTCCTATCCCAATCGTACAAAGTGAACTTCTATCACCACTGAGAGAATACGAAGAACTCAAATCTCTGTGGGTGAAAATAGACCTTAGTTTACTCTCTAGGATACCTGGACAAGAGCCCTTTGAGACCACGTCTGTGAAAAGCGAACCAAGAGAGGCAAATGTGAAACACAGGCGACCATCTCGAGAGTCCCCTACCCCAGCAGCTGAAAAACCATCCACAAAATCCAAAAGGAAACACAAGGTGAGTAATTTTCACCATTCAGGGGAAAACACTGAATTTCTATGCATCCTCGAGGTCAGGACTGCAGTCAGTGATTCCTCACTGCACCTGCAGCAGGGCCGTAAGGAGGTATCATAACACTGAGGCTTTATTGTTTTTACAAAGAACATACAAGTGCATTACAAGTTAACATCAGAAACTAGTGAAAAACAAACTTCATCTGTCAAAATCAATGAACAATGTAATTTTTTGAGACTTGTCTTACAAGCTTTTTCACCGCATTTGCTCACTTACCCATTAATTTCCAGTGTTGTGTAATCTGCAGAAAGATTCCCAATGATGAGTTCATACTCTTACGAATTCAGCCATACTCAGAAAATGTGACTTCTGCTTGGAAGGCAGGCTTTTATTGTCTGCAGGATTAAGGCATTTTCACCACTGGCTTAACAGGCATAGCTTCATTAAAGTCAATGGAATGGTGCTTGCTTATGCTCCTGGTGAATTTAGTCTTTATATTGTTTTGTTGTATAAACAAATGTGATTCATAGAATATCATTTGCTTAACTAGCTGCTTTCTCTGCACGGCTACCTGAAAAAGCAAATATATTTTGACTTAAGGCGTTACGTTTTATCATGTGTTTTATGTTATTTATGCCCAAGGGTATCCTATCTTGTGGGATATGACAGTGCACTTCAAACTAAATGTGTTTCCAGAAAAGAAACTTTATATCATAAATTAATTTTTGTAGTCGTTTTTTCCAGCTGAAATGGTTATGCTCTGGTCTCTCTGTACGAAGTCATCATAGCATATGTTTTTTATACCCCAAGTTTTATAAATCATTTGAATGTGACTTCAGCTGTCTGTTGTAGTGGACTTCTTTAAATCCTGAGTTTGAGCAGTCCAGTGGTACAAGACAGTTAATACAAGACAAAGACAGACAGTGCTAGGCAGACATAGGGTCTGCACCCCTGCCTACATGAGTCACTGCACTGGCTCCTTCCCTGTTGAATTAAGTGGAAATAATCACATGAGTAAACTCAGCAGGTTTTTATTCAATTTATATTCTAGCCGTACTCTAAAGGCAGAGATGTTAGAAGGAAGGAGAAAACAAGAAAGAGGAAAGGGATGTATAAATGTCCGTCTTATGTGTATGTGTAAGTACACCAGGGTTTATATTAATTATACAAAAAACCTGCTTGCTAGGTAACTTAATGGAGTGTCAATATATTGGAGAAGGCATCTTGGCTAAAACACGAGTATAGTATTGGCAACTAAACTGAGGGCTCACAAGAAAAAAAGAAAAAGGTTATATGAAAGTTGGAACCCATAATTTCATTAGCTGGGACTTGGCATCAGAAAGTAACAAAATGAGGAATCTCGCTATGGCACTGTACAAAGCTACACTCTGAAACAGCCCTATGTTGCTCTATGATTGTTCGCTGCTACCCAAGGGGAAACAAACCAATTAGAATGACTTGAGGGTATATCAACAGTTAAAACAGGATAGGGAGAGCCTGATTTGTGTTTCTAAATCATGCTATTAAAAGATTTATTCTAGCCATCTACTAGTGGGCTTGAAGGCTGATATGAAGGTTCCAGTGACAGAGCAGTAATCAGCTTTCCTTGTATCATCCGAGTTCAGGCACAAAAGTCATGCATCAGGGAATCTTTCGAAGCAAATTTTAAACCAGCTATCGCTGTTAATGACTACCCCAGCTCAGTCCTGTAGTCTTTTAGTCCTGTGAGGAATACTTACTCAGGGAAGTCTTCTCATCAGCTTCCATTAAGTCAATGAGTAAAAGCTATTTACTTGAGTGAGATTTGGTGCTATCAAGTCATTCCATCTGAATTATTAATTAAATTCCAGTGCACTACGGAAGATAACTATAGCACATGAGGCAGTTTGCTTCCTAATTATCTGACTATGTCACTTGTTATATAACTTCGTGTCATGTGTTTGGAGCACGTTTAGCCCTGATTTCAGGTGACTTTCACTTCTCTTAGACCAGTATTTTAACTGCTGCTACTGTAAAGGAAATACACTGAGATTCCTGAGCTCCTCGTAATGGCAAGTGAAATTGTGCATAGATGATGGATCTTTCAAGCTCTACCTTTTTTGTTAAAGCAGACAGAAAGCCTGGATACCTTTGTTGAAAGCAAGAAGCAGCGCCTGGAGGACCCTTCACCTTCATGCCTGCTCCCACCTTGTATCTCTCCGATACCGAATCACAGATTAACCAGCACTAAAGAGTAAGTTCTTTTTTTTCACATAACATTCATGAAGGATTTCACGTTACTGTTCTACAAATGTCTTTGCTGTAGAGCCAGATGGGCTTTACAGCCCATAACATAAGTGACCCGGCATTGCTATTCCCATCCATCAGGAAGAGGATCCATGTGATTTTGGATGAGATTCATTCATCCTTCTGAGGGACTACAGGAATTCAGAGTGCCACTGCAATCCTGGTGTACTCTTCTACCCCCATACTCCATCCTTTCAATGTTCTTTCTTGCCCCCATCATCCTTAACCTTTATGGCCAGAGAATCCTACTAAAAGTGAGCTTTACTTGAACTTGAATGCCTGGAATTTTATTTTTTTTAAATCATTTTAGTAAGAGGCAGTCCTTAGTTTTATTGAACAAAATAATGACGTTGCCGTTCACTTCAGCAGCTGTTATTCTTTAACGGTGTATACAGCAATGCCAGGGATGACCATTCTAAATGTTTCAGACATACTTGTTTTGTATTTCTGCAGACATATAATCAAATAGTTTGTGCCTTTCAGAGTGTCTTTGAGAGATGGCTATAATGCTTGAGCAAACAGGCGCCACGTAAATAATAGTTCTGATTAGTATAATCACAAGATTAACATTCTATAAATAACCAAAGAGTCCAATTCCCTTCTGTCATCAATTTTGTGCTTTTACGATTTTGAGACGAGGCACTTTCTGCTTCACACTAGGACAAGAAAAGAATCAAACCCACCATGTGCTTCTGAAAACAATTTGATTGTAGTACTATTCAAATTTAGATAAAGTTCAAAAATCATTTATGAAATAGCATACAAAGTTTAAAATCCGTAAAGAAGGCTGAGCATCATTTTATTTATACTGGTGTAATTACAGTGTTACTTCAGTCCTTGAACTAACCTCTCATTCTACCACTGAGAAAATCAGAGTTGGAGTCTGGAAAAGGCAGATGAGTTGAAAGTTGCGATGTGTTCTGTAACATGTTGCACATGTGATAAACATCATGATGGGTGTTGCCTGACTGTCATTGCTAGAACTACAATGAGCAGAGATGTATTGCAGAGGGAATCAAGGATTATCCATCCCCAACACCTCCACAATCCATTAAAAAAAATCTTTCTATTCCTGTCACCAGCAAGCCCTAAGGATCCACCCCCAACCTGATGTTTCTTAATTTGAGCTTGTTTTCCAGGTCATTAATTTGATTCCTCGGAGCTTTCAAGCCTTTGATATTCTCTGTTAAAATATAATTGTGTCCATCAATAGTTATTTCCATATGCTAGCTTTTCCTCTTGTCTGCCTCAAGTTTTGAAACAAAATTTTCTGGCTTCTTTTCCACTGCAGTGATTGAGACCGGGGTCACACTGCATTTGTTATTAGTGTCTTCTGAGTTTCCTTGAAACAAATGCAATATTGTTTGATAATTCAGGTCTTCAACTCCCAGAGACGTGCAACTGAATATAGATAAACGTATTTCCCAAAAGATTAGGGAGCTGGCTGAACTGTGCGATGACAAATTTCTGGAGAGCCCCAGATTGTTTTTAAGCAGTCAGGAGTGGTTCCATTCTCCAGAGGGTTAAGTAGAGTTTTAAGGGGAGGCAGAAGTAGGGGAAAGCTGAAAGCACACTGTTCAAGGGCATGGAGGAAGATAACACTTGAGTGGTAAAAGGTTGAAAAATAGGCTTTGCCATTTGTTCCTTTATTCCCAAAGGTTCTGTGTTTTCTTTCAGAACTCCTAAGTCTCTACATAACGACTTTGAGAAATGAGGGTGATTTAGCTACAGGTGTGATGATGATGTTCACCCATTAAGAAGGTGTTACATCCCATGGTGGATGTTCTCACTCAGGAGGAACCTTAGGTCTTTCCTACCAGAACTTGGTCCCTGTGCCAACAAGTTCCCCAAGGCAGACTTCAGAGACTTTCACTGGGTTTTTTTATACATACAAGAGTGTTTTGACAGAAAGACCACTATCTCTGGGCCAAAATTTGGAGGCATTCAGGAGTCTGGAGGAATCAGCAAAAGACAGGCCACACCTGTGCTTTTGCAGCTCCCACTGGCTGCCTGTGTATGGTTTAGGCATTTGAATACACTTCTCTCATAAGCTTCCCCTAAATATATGGGCTCAATACAGCAAGCAAAGATGCATAATTAATTTTTAAAGGGTTACATGTCTAATACAGGCAATTATATGCCTGATTTCCACAGGTTTCTATGACCGCATGTAGAATTTGAGTGTAGAAATTTCAGATGGTCAGTTGTGAACTTAAGCCATTCACACAACCAAAGACCCAGTTTGTATTATGTAGTCATTGCATAAGCAACTAGTTATCTCTCTGTTCCTTCTCTAACATGCTCTGGGGCTGATGGCTTTTTCTAAATCTGACATGATACTTAAAGTATAATTATTCAAACTGTTGCCACTGTATTTTCCTTATTTCTGGTATTTCATAGCAAATGAAGGAACAGATGATACTGTGTTTTGTCCAAGTAATTCATAGTAATACCTTGAGATATTGCTATGATGCTGGATTTTTGTCAGATCAGCTTCCCACTTTGCAGCAGAGGATCATTTATGTATTTACTTGCTTGCCAGAGCAATTTTAATTTAAGCATTAATTGTATGTGCTGCTGAATACCATTTCTCTCTGAATACCTGATTGGTAGACGTAGTCAAGACAGAGCACTACTCACAAACATTTGGCAGTTTGTAACAACACAGAGAGTTATTTGCTGATGCAAACTGTGAGTCTGAATTTCAAACTATTATCAGTGAAACATGCCTGCTGTCTAACAGGCACACTAGAAGTCTGTCCAAGGCAAGCATTTCAGCCTGTTTCTCAAGATTTCCTGTTCCCTTTTGTTTGACCTTTAGTTAAAGATGCAACTATACTTGGCAACGTATATTAGCCAATCCCTTGGGTAGACACAACGGCATTCACTGGGGTCCGTTCAGGGCAGAGGCAGCCTTCTACATCTATGACAATGACTTCGGCTTCATTCAGTTGCTGCCGTATGGTCCAAGCTAATGCGGGAGTGACCTTTCCCTGCTAACCCCCTGCAGAAAATCAGATACACCGTCAATGTGCAGCATTTCATTGTGGACAGGGAGAGTAGAAGCAAAGGAAAGCCAAGTGATTGGTATAGACAATGGCTTTGTCTCACTAATAGGCCAGAGATACCACTGCATGCCACAAGGAGTGGATAAAGAAAGGCAGCTTGAAATGTGAGAGTAGATGGAAATTCTCTCTCCTTCACACACTGACCTCTTGTTGCCTGCTTGCTTGCTTTCTGCCCTAAAAGAAACCAGGCTCAAAAAAAAAGCAGATGGGGAGCCTTCTTGTTCCTTGATAATTGGCCTTTTCAGACACAAAGATTAAACCCTGCAGCCACAAGACCATCAGTTCTGCTTGTATTTTTTTCCTTGCACTTTTATTGTGTTTCTCCTTAGATTTTAAATATAGTTTGACTAACAATCATGTCAGCAAATTAAACCATTGAGTCTCGGTAATTATTGCAATAAATTCATTCAAAATTAGCGATTACTGCAATCAAAGACCAGTTTCTTAGCCCATTAACAGCCCAAAGCAAAGTGACAATCTGGTTAACTGCTGGTAACAACCTATTTCATGGAGGTTATTGTTAACATAAATGCTTTGGTGTAAATCTGAGGGAGGTAACATTGCTAAATAAATTATCAGATTAATTCCTGTGAAAACTCATAGGATTAAGTGGTCAATAGAGAAAAAAAGGAAAAGAAAAAAAAAACACCAACCAAAAATAACCAAACAGAATTATAACCATAAAGTATTGGTGAGGTTTTTAATTTGAGTCATGTAGAAAGAAAATATCCTGAAGTACGTTTTCCTTTGTGGTTAAGTCTTCTCACTCACAGAATGACCTGTGTGCCAGAACTGAGTAGCTGCACCTGTATCTTAGTTTGCCGCACCTTATATTTGAGCCCAAAGATGAATTGAACTGGTGAAGTTTTATGTCATGAAGTTTTAACCATGATACCTGCAGCGGCCTTTTTTTTTTCTTGTACTACTGTCTTAATCCCTCCACCTCTGTGTAGCGGCTGAGGAATGTTGCTTCAATTGCTTTATATATGCAATTTCCCCATGCAGTGGTGGACTCTGTGCAAGTGACAGAGTCCTGCATTAGCCCTGGAAATAGCCACGGATGTGCTGAGGAACCTCACTAGTGATGCAGGGTCAGATCCTAAAGGGGACTTGGCCAATGGCTCACATTCCGTTTTTCTTCAGATGCTTTTGAGATAGATCGGCCATACTTGGTTGCAAAGCTGTACCAGGGAGAAAGAAAAGCTCCACACGCCTCCATGTACAGGGGCACGGAGAATCACTTTTCTCTGTGCTCCCACCCATACATGCCTGTTCAGAGTTCACCATGTAGGACACTCATATGGAGGCAGAGTGTTTGGATTCTGCTTGTGGGTATTTCGTTAACTGTCTGCTTTGCCTCTGTACAATCCAATAACACATGCACACTTTCTTGGGGCAGTGTTTATCCTCCTTTGGAAAACTTTCCTCTGGAAAAAGTTTAGAGTATTATTGTGCTGTAGCTATGGTAACTTGTCTGAGTTCCAAAATGCCCTTTGGGGGTAAGAAAGCTAACAGATGGGGCTTTGAGTGAGAACTTTTTGGAGGACATGTTGCAGGACCACATGTGCATAAAATCAACCTCCTTGAAGAACTGCCAGTCTCTTCCAACCTGGTTGCTTTCCTTTGATCTTCTTCAGGCCCATGTGTTTTCTGAGCAGGACAGCATCCATTCCAGTCCTGTTGTAAGGCAATACGAATTCTGTGCTGTATTTATTTCTTCAGTCTGAAGATCTTTAATATCAGAGAGTTTCAACTAAGATATTTTAAACTCTGCTTCAGTCAAATTAAAAAAATTGAGTAGAAGCACTATAAAACCTGAACCATGGAGAGTTTGTTTGATTTCACCCTGTGATTTCACAGGTAGGCTAAAATATTTTTGTGTCAGCAAAGGTCCAAAGTAGGAGAACGACCAAAGCAAGTGTAGATACTGATACTGTTGGTGAAACTGCAAAAGAGGCCAGACTGGAATGAGAGAGAGCTCCAGAATGAGTAAGAAAACTTGGATTGCCTTTTCCTGTCCCTGTGGTTACTTTAAGGCAAAGTAGATCTATAATTCCTTGCACTGACTGAAAGTGACTGGGAATGAAACATGAATTCCTGTTGACTTAATTTGTTATTGAAATCTTAGTCAATAATAATGAAAAGTAAATGATCGTGTAGTGCAATAGTAGATGTCTACACAAAAGATTAAAATTCAGGTTATCTTCATTGACTGAGCTGGGACAGTACCTAAAATAAAAATCTATGAGTAGATTAACATGTTAAACAGTCAGTGGGGTATTGGGTTTTGTTTTTTTCTTTTTTGATGGGTTCAAGAGGAGAGAAAGGCCTAGCAGGTTTTTTTGGTTTTAGTGCGTATCACAGCTGCCACTTCTAGCCAGCTAACAATTTCTGTACATAAAACAGACAATAGATTATCGTATTACTTGAGCTTTCATGTCAAAACCACATTCATTTTCTGAATCATGTTCAATTCATCAATGAGTATTTGCTCAAGGGCTTTTGCCAGCTACAGTGTATCATTTTAATATAGTGTTGAACACCGGTTTTATTCTAGAGGTCAAATAATTATTATCTTGTTATTGTTATGGTTATCATTTTGTAGTTGTTATCAATTTTCTTTTGGTTCACATGCCATGTGCTACTATGGTTTTTTGCAAAGGTTGCTTATGTGGGCCCTAATCCACCTCCTAAAAAGATGCTTAATGTTAGACACATAAATAGTCATACTTAATGTCAAAGGAACTAACCCCATGCATAAAACTTTCCAGCACTTTGCTGAGTCAGAACCTCTATGACCTCTCAAATGAAGACTGACTCAAATTAGCATTTAAATTGGGTGCAATTTGTACTAATGCACTGGAAGTTGTCTTCCAAAGCAGGAGGTTTCTGCAGCCCTTGAAAAGGCAGAGGTAGCTCTTCTGTTTTCACTGCCTGTCCCCTTTTGACTTAGCTCCTAGGACACGGGGACTGCAGGACGTATTTGAGGGTAGAGCTGGCTTCTCAGTAAATAAAATCTAAAGCCTTGTGCTATGGAGCGTTAACCAAGGTTCTTGAAATGCAACTGGTTCTTATCTGTGTCCCAGGGGCAGCGGTAGCTCAGTGAAGAAGGTGGCAAAGAAGAGAGAAGAGAAGCTGTTCCCTCCTCCATTATCCCCCCTCTTGGACGAGCCTGTGCACCGGCGGCACAGCAGTGACAACAGCTCCTTCAGCCAAGAGACCAGCATCACAAACACCTCTCAGACCAGCAACGCTTCCTCCTCTGTTTCTAAACACAGAAAGAATGAAAATAAATCATCTTCTAACCCCAAAGGAATCTGTGTAAGTAACCGACCTCAGTTGCTGAAAGTGAACATGATAAAATAAAATTAACTTAGCTTTGTTCTGTTTTATCTTTTTTTTCCAGTATCTATTTTTAAATGCTATGTTAGCCCCACTCAAGAGCAGCAAGGATCTTTGCAGAGCTGGGCATAAGCAACTCTTGCAAGTTCCATTTTTAGGTCAGCATTAGGCATCTACTTGTCTTTGTGTATCACTCCCTAAAACACCCAGCCCCTGAGCCACCGACTAGTTGCAATTAGTCCCTTAACTCTGTAGCTACAACACACACGTTTTGAAAATAAAACTTCAAGAATTTTGGTATCCGTCACCTGAATAATTACCCCAAATTCTCAGCCAGAATTAAGCACTGTAGCTGTACTGAATATTGTGGACTAAACTGAACAGACAATAAAAATCTAACAAAAAGCTACCGGTCCATAGCACACTCAACATGGAAATATCTTCTTTCAGGTTTGCAGGCTCCCAGCTTCCAGCAGTAAGGTTTATTTACACCTAATCTCAATTAATTACGTATATAAACTAGATGCTGTGTAAATAGTGTTGTTTTTAAAAAAAACCCCGCCATCATTCTGTTAGGGCCATCTCCCTATCAAAGGTTTTCACATAGACAATTCTTTCCTGCTTGCTTTTCTCCAGATTCAGATGGCTTTTTACTGAAAATACATGAAAAAGAGACAAAATTAGAAGCTTCATGGCAAATTCACTAAAAAAAGAGTAAAATTTCACACCAGTTTTTCATCCTCTTTTAGGTTAAACAGGCAAACTTCAGGTTTTTGGCCCATTTTAGAAAATAGTCCTCCCTCTAGAGTTTCAAACACATCATTTAGTATGAATCTGTATCTTCGTATCACTGTCAAAATTAAAAGAAGAAGAAAACTCTGCCACAGAAAAGGACATGCATAGCCCCATTTTTCACAGTTCACCGCTTTGTGAGAGGTTGTTACCCTGCGCTGTAATAGTAAAAGTAACAAGTTGCATTGGATCGTAGGTGACAAATCACTTCACCTTGTTCATTCATCCCTGTTGCTTTCTGATATCATTGTGTCACTTCAAGCTGCGAGAGTAATACACACACCTTCAACTGAAATCAATGCCAAAATGAACTGCATATGTCAGCAAATAAACAATGCTATGTAAACAGCAGGGCCACTTCCTCTCACTCCCAGCATCTCTAGTCAGATTTATCCTTGGTTTATCTGTTTTCCTGATACATGAAATATCTGCCTGCTAAAATATGTTAGACTTCTTTCCTTAGTTCGTTGGTTCATCTGTCATTTAGTTTACCTGGTTGTGGATCTAGCTTGCAAGTTACAACTGCATGATTTAAATGCTTCTGTTATGCTTCTGGTTTTAATCAACGCAAAGTCACAACTCCTGACTTGTGCTTTCCATTCTTCTCTCTGTTCTGTGTAGCAAGGGTGAGGAAACCATTCCTTGCTGAAATCTGAGCAGACTTTCGGACACCTTACAGTTAGCTAATAATGATATAGAAAAAAAAGGTTACATGAGTGTCATACACCTTCAGTGAAGCTGAGTTTACGTTCAGCCCTTCCGCATTAGATTTCTCCACCCTTGCTTTAACCAGTGCCTCTAGTCAGTAACGCTGTTGTATCCAGGCTGACTTCACCTAAGAGTGTAAGTTAATGAGTTCAGGTGAGGGGTCAGAGGTAGAGTCATACTGCCTAATTAATCTAACAGGCTTAAGTTATAAAGGATGGAAGGGTGGTTTTGTGAGTAGTTGGATGCAGGTGGGTGTATATGAGTGCTACTTTGTGCCTTAGCCTTTTCTTTGCTTGGGGATTTTTTGGGGGAGTGGATGTGAACACTATTGTTCAGTATTGTTGAAAGGTGTTTCTTCAAACTGTGAAGAGTTAATAACAGCCCTTTTTTTTCTAGGAGGAAGAATCTCACAACACACCAACAGTTAACGCTCTTCTTGACACCAGCCATCTAGAAACAGACATCTGGTCTGCAATGCCAACGCTTTCCAATGGGAATTCTGAGCCCAGAAGACCCAAAATAACATTTGATGATGTGTAAGTATTATTGGAGCTCTGTGCTAGCTGCATGTTATGTAGCTGGGATTTCCATGCAAGCAGAGCTCCCAGTGAAAGAGAGTATCTTTGATTGTAACGCTAGTATTGGGCACCTGTGTGGATAGTGCTGCACAAAGGCACACACAGTTTTAATCTTTATAAATGAACTGTTGTCACTGATTAATGAAGACTCTGTTGATAAATGTTTTCAGATCATGAATGTTGGTTCACGGTAATTCTTCTTCATTTTTTTAATTTTAGCTCCTCTAATGGAAACTTCTTATACTTAATTAGCTAAAAATATTTTCCCTTTTCCTCTGTTCAGCACACACTAACGGGCCCTTCAGGTGGCCAGTTTCTACAGCTAGTTGTTTTACATTCTGGTCACCCATCATATCTTTGCATATAGCAGCTTTAGATTAATATCAGGTTAAGATTTAAAGAGATAAGTGGGCGTATATGTCGAAATTGTTCTTGGAAGAAGTCAGCAATTTTCTTAAACAATGTTTATCCAACTGTATGAAAACAAAGACCTGAAATAATTGATTTTGTCTCTTTAGGCTTCACAATGCGGATTATTACATGCAAGAGGCTAAGAAGCTAAAGCATAAAGCAGATGCATTGGTAGGTTATCACAGGGATTTTTTTGTCTCTTTCCACAATAGAGCTGAGTGTTACAAAAATGTACATTTTAAATGTCATCTAAAGCCTCAGAAACCAAGAGGAACCCTGCTCTTGATTAAAGTATGCTCCAGATTGTACTCCATAAACACAGTCCACAACAAATCAAACCCTGAGCACCATTCCTAGCCTTTAACAATTCCTTCTCAAAAAAGAAGCTCCTTACAATGGCTGGTATCTCTTCTGAGGAAGAGCAACAGTCATGCTGTTTATGAAGGATGCAAAATAATTTCATGAAAGATGTGTATTTGAAATTTGTTTTCCTAATTACATTGAGCCTAAACCAAAAGTGTTGAAATATTTCATAACAGAAAGTTAAGAAAGGCAAATCAGCCTCCACCCCATTATCATGTGGTAAAACTGTTTGATATTTCAAATCCAATTGTTTAAAATTTGCAACAATTGATTTTTAAATAGTACATTCATTTTTATTACATGCTTTTAGGCTGGTAAATAAAGACTCAACATGCTTCTTCCCAAAATATCCCAGTTCAATTCTGGGAAAGATTTTTCTCTCATTTTACCCCAGATGAAATTCCAGTAAGATTGACCTAATTTTGCAAAGTGTTTAGATTTTGATAATACTACTTAATGTGGCAGATTATAGTCTATCATAGTTTGTTCAATCCAAGCTATTGACAGCACTGAACTGCCTTTAATACCCATTTGCCTTGTAGGTAGGAACTTTGCTCCTGTACGCTACATTGAGTGCAGAACAGCAGCTTATTTAGGCAGGCTTAGTGCAACTTGACTCCTCTATTTGTTTAAACTAAGATGTCTAAAATGGAGTGTGGCCATTTCACTTCAAAATCACAACTGGAAAAGAACTGGGTGATTATTCACCTCTCACTTTATTATTTTGGGGTTTTTTGCATGCATATTGTATCATTCCACATCAGAGATCTTGTGCTTGGAAAGAAATGTTTGTCCAAAAAAACCCCCGAAAACAGTCACGTGCTATGTTTTTAAAAGACAAAACAAATGAAAATAAAAAAGTCTCTCCCTCTGCTGTCGGTGAGCTGCAAGAGAGTTGACATGTCAAGCTGCCTCCTTCTGCTCTCCAGGCTCGCTTTTGACTTGGAGCACAGTGTTACCAAGTGTGTTTTCTGTGGGAGGTGGGTTCAGGTTTTTGGCAGCCTGCCGTGACTGTCAGTAAGTTAGCAGTCGTCCTTCCCGACCTGCCCATTTACAGGCGGTGGCCTGCACTGGTTCCTGCAGCCCAACTCAGCAGAGCATGTTCAGCCGGAGCCCTGACATCCGCACGCAGGAAAGGCTGGCAGGAGCGGACTGACAACACCTCCCACAGCTGATTGACCTTTAAAGAAAATACACATGGTTCTGGCACAGGGACGCCTGCTCCACGCTAGCAAATATTTACAGGCTCAAGCTCCCGATGATCTCAACATGCTATGTCAATCCACTTCCCTCCACAGCCTGATTCACTCAGAAAGTGTTGACCTGTCTCCTGTCCTCTTACCTTTGACTATGCCTTGCGGAATCAGGGGTGTTTTTCAAGCAGAACTAAGAGGAGCAGGCACAGCACATCACGCTGCTGCCTGCAGGCAGGCCTTGCCTGTCGCATGTAGTTTGGCACCCCGAGTGCTCTTATAGGAATGTGAGGCCATCCGCTACGATACAACTTGTTGGCAGACATAAATACCCATGAACAAAGTATCTGCTTTTTCTTTCCGCTACTGAGGTGTCAACTTTTTTTTCCACCCAATACAGCTGCACACAAATTAGCTCCATGTAACACATTTGCTGTGCAATCCCATAGTGTTAGTCGTCCTATGGAAACAATTGCTTCTGGTTACTTGGTGCTGACATGACGAAGCACACACAGCACTGAAAGATGTGTTGCAGTGGCTAGAAAGATAATGCATGTGACCTCAAAATGTGTCAGCAAATGTCAATGGGATTTGCGGCAACGCTGTTCCTGAGCACGTTCGGAAAATAGATTTCTGGTGAAGGGCAGGGCATTTTGTGTCTTATGGCAGTGACCTGAGACATGAGAACCTATCCTTGTCTGGGATGGCAGTAAGGAATCAACTAATTTGGATGGGCTGCTGCAATGGCAACTGGCTGTACCATACAGAAGAGATCCTGAAGACCTCACTCTGTTCTCAGCTAAGCTGTGATGAGCTGGAGTAATTCCACTTACTCCACTAGAGTCAGTGTGGAGCAGGATCAGATCCCATTTCTGACTCAAACTGTGTGTCTGTACTAAACCTGCTTGCAGCCAGATTCGTTTTTTTATATAACAAAAAGTTGTCTTTGGAAGACTTGAAGCAAGGAATTTGAAGAATATGCTAAGAAGTGGCCATTGAAATTGAGAGAAAACATTTAGAAATATTTCCCCTTTTGTGATTATTCAGATAATACCTATCAATTATACAAAGGCTTTGTACATAATCAATACACAAGAGTAGAACTTGAAATTAAAGGTATGCAGAGGGAACTAGTTATAAGGATTGCTTATAAGAATAGCCACAAAGGCAAATATACTGTTACCTTGGACTAGCACTAAATGTTCTGCCTAATATGTTGCTACGTTAGGCTTCCATTTTGGGAATAGAAAACATACGCAGATGCATCAAAAATATTTTGATAGAGACATACAAAGAAATTTTTTAATTATTTAAAGTATATTGGATCTCTTATATCAAATGCTACATCAGTAGAATTCTTACATCCAGCTATCAAAAATTGAAAATGTTAAATACTATTATAAAATACTTACTATAAAAATGTCATATATAATATTCATTACACATAAAAAAAGAAATCAGTATGTCTAAGTCAGTTTAATCACAACCATTATGAGGGCTAAAACCTTTTGCAATAAAATCCTAGTAAAATAAAATATTTAGCGGTGCTATATTTTCTCCTTTTTTTTTTCCCTGCTCTTTCAGTCATCACAAAAGTAATGACTTTTTTTTTTGGTCAACAGTTAACACAGAATGTGACATCTGACAAATGGCGTGAAGTTGTTACTTAACCCTTGCACAATGACATTCAGACTTAGTTCGTATATCAAGGAGCAATATGCATTTGTTCAAAGATGCTTAGCATTCCTCATTGCCTGTGTAAATCCATGCATGTCAATGGATATACGTTGGCTTTTCTCTGTGGAGTGTCTGGCCTTGCCTGTGTAAATCCATGCATGTCAATGGATGTACATTGGCTTTTCTCTGTGGAGTGTCTGGCTAGTACTACACTACCAGAAAAGATTTGGTAAAAACATAGACTGTGCCTTAATTACTGTATGAATCCATTCTTAACTACCAGCATCGCTTTGCTTTCATCCTAATGCTAGTGTTGCTTTGTATTATGATCTGTTTACCTAGAAATTAAAGCTGAAGGATTTTCCTGATGTTGTCATTTCCATTTCAGCTGGAGAAGTTTGGCAAAGCAGTGAATTATGCTGATGCTGCCCTCTCCTTCATCGAATGTGGGAACGCTATGGAGCGAGATCCATTAGAAGCTAAATCTCCATACACCATGTACTCAGAGACTGTGGAACTCATCAGGTTAATGTCCTTTCTGTGATCATTTTCATAATCTCATTTCAGTCATAATTAGAACCTGCTATGTTTTAAAAAATACCATTTCAACGTATTAATGATTTGTCCAAGGCATCTTCATCTCAGAAGTCATCATAATTAGTTCTTGCCATTTTATTAATGTCATGGAAAATTTATAATTGATGGACACTGCTTTTATAAATTATCCCCTTTAGAGGTTATAATGTGAGTGTTATAATTTGCAATATTCATAAAATTAAAATTGAAATGTAGTGGGTGGAAGTAAAGTATAGTAATTTCACTGTTTGGCAATGACACTTGTCTTTTAAAAGGTGTAGTTTTATAATTCAAAACATTAAAGTGAGTCTATCAGGATTTCTATTACAAACCCTGGTTTTAGAGGTTTATAACTTGGCTGTTAAAAAAAAAAAAAGCTGAAACGTGGCACATAAGATCATATCCAGAGAGGAAGCTTTCCGCATGTATTGTGTTAAAAAAAGTATTTTTTTTATATATACTTTTAGACTTACTTATATAGTATACATATTTATATATACTATATATATATATAAAGGAATGTGAAGCAGCTGAATTAGTTTTAATACAGTTTTGTAGACTCATAGGCTAGAATATGGATGAAAGCGCCTTTACTTTTAATAAAATGTCTGAATTATTATTTTAAAATCTGCTACTGCTCCCTATAGCTGTTTCATAGTGTTGGCTCCATAGAAATAGTGGTCTCCTAAGTAACTAAGGGCTGGTTTGCTTTACTTATGCAAATTATCAAAGTGAAATCAAGCAGGATTAAATTTACCTGTAAGTAGAACAGGATTTTTCCTCTTCACTGTGATGCATCTTTGCTTTCTCCAGTGTATGCTGGGAATATCACCATTAATGTCAGTGTAATTACTGGCAGTTTACACAAGAGAAAGAAAAGGAAGCAAATCAGGACCTAAATGTTTGGGGTTCAATATGACAAAGGTGGTTTTTAACATGCAGAATTTTAACATGCCAGATTAACTATTAGGAACTGCCAAAAATAATGCCTGCTTTACATTTTGAAGAAGTAGGTCTTTACATAATAGATCAAATCTTAAATTGCTCTCACTCTCAGGTAAATAATATGCCTGTTAAATATTTAAAAACATGTTTTAACATTCTACACTTCATAAAGAGAAGAAGAAAACCTAAAGAGATTACTCAACAGAAAAAATTATGTTCACTCAACACTGTGATCCAAGTTAAACTCTCAACAGCAGAGGATTTAAGAAAGGAGCCGCCTACCTCAGCTCCGCTGTGCTGAAACTCTTCCTTCACTGTGACAGTGTCGTGAACTACAACTACAGTTGTATGGCAGGATAGATTGTATTTAAAGAAGTGTTCTTTAAAGAAGTGAGTTGTTCTTCATAGAAGCCCACATTTATTTTTATTTTTTAAGAAAACCACACAGCACAGTTGAAGACATTGTTCCTCAGTCCAGCAGTCTGTCTGTTCAGAAGGAGACAGACCAAACATCTTTGTTCATTCAGGAGCCACAACACGTGCACCACTTAAAGTCAGAGAATGGCAGCTGGAGTAGCTCACAAAAGGGTGATACCTGCAGCTCCCCTCCACCCTAGGGTGCTGGTGCTGGATAGAGTCAGCTGAGTGGATGGGTGCATCCTGGAGCAACTGGCGCTCATCAGCATACGCAGCCCCGCTGTCTTGCTCTTTCCAGCAGCTCCTGTATCAGCACAGTCCTGTTGCAAGCTACATGACAGATAGACCTTGGCGTAGAAGCAGTCCCTGAACTGCTTTTGGATTGCTTTTTGAACTGCTTTTGGCTATGGAAGAAACCGGAGGACTTTGTTATAGTAGATTTCCAATTTCTAAATAGCTAAAGTCAAGTGAGATTAATTCCACCATCTACCATCAAAGGTAGAGCTTAAGTTACCAACTATTGTATGCAGGTAGTGAGAGACTGATTTGCCCATTTAATTGCTGTCAGTGATCAGAAATGGAAAAAAAAGGTGATTGCCCAGGTGAGCAGCAGGCTGGTACATGTTCAATTAACTCCATGGACAAACACAAATTCTTGTGGACTGCAGTGGTTGCTGAATGTACACACCAAGTATGCGGCTGTGCACACACACTTTCTCAATGTGGCTCCTAATTTGAACATAGATTTTTACTGTGAGATAAGAAACAGAAGGTTTTTCTCACTTTTACTTCTGCCTTCACCAGAAGCACCATTTTCCCCTTTTGCATTTAGCTGTGTCTTCCCTGAGTATCTGCATCAGACACCTATTTGTGAAAGCAAGTGGAACACCAAAGAGATTGGGAATATCAGAGATCTGATTGTCAAAGGTGTTTTAAGTTAATGGTAATACTAAAATCCCTAATGTAACACTGAAAATCCCAGAGACTTCTATCTTTGTTTTATCAAATTTATTCAGTATGACTGGAACACCACCACCAAAGAGCAGGTGAGACAGGACATGGAGGAAGCATATCAGATGGTGTGCTACAGCTGCAGGCGGGGGGCTGATGATGGGGGTGGTGAGAGGCAGGCAGAGTGAGAGCAGCACTGCCTGCCTGCACTCCATTACCTCCTTGTAAATGAGAACTCATCAAGACTGCCTGGATACCTTAAAACTTTCTTACGCAACGCTGAACCCTATTACTTATTCTAACACAAGTACCTGTGAAATTGCATTAGGGCTCAGAACAATGATTTTATGCGATGAATTGATTTTCAAGAGACTAAATGCATGGAATGGAGTGTGCTCAGTTAAAGAAAAAACAAAGACAGAGGAGGCAGGAATGTTGAATCTTTGAACACCCAAATGCTGGACAGCAGCGATTAAATAGATAGGTAAGACCAGGTACACAAGACTCATAAATTAATGGACCCAACAATTAAAAAAGCTGTGAACATGACCTTTCCTGAATTTAAAACTGTTTTCTATATAAAATATATTAAAAACTTTGAAGAAGCATTTATGAGAAGGATTTTGAAGGTATTATTCAAGCCCAAAGTATTATATGTAAAACCTGATTATATATTACTCTACTTTTCATTACATATAGGTCCAAGATCTTATGGTTCTCTCCAACACTCATCACAAATGTTTGCAGGACTCGGCCTAGATGGCTGAATATAATATCATTAATATGCCCAAGAACAGTTCACCTCATTGGCCCAGAAAATGGGTTGATTTACTTTAGCCTTCCGGATTTTAAGTGGTGCTCTGTTGAATTTTACATTGATCTCATCGTTACAGAACAATGTGACCATTGACTAGTGCAGTCAGGGAAAGATATCTATGTGTGGCTGTTATATTTCAGAGTGTCACTAGTGTTCCTGGAAACATCTTAACTCTCAATTTCTTCTCTCCTCACCTTTCTGACAAGGTATGCAATGAGACTCAAGAATTTCACAGGCTCTTCTGCCACGGAAGGGGACAAGAAATTAGCAGTTTTATGGTAAGTCCCATTGCGACAATGAGAGAAGCAGCTCAAATCTTAAGGAGGACTTTAAAAGTACTGAATTACTTAAGCAGCTTACAGAAGATCATTATTCTTGTTTTCCATTAAACTATTAAAGGATAACTAATGGATTTCTTCAGCAGCTGACTAAACATTTATTCTTCTAATTTATACTGTTATCAAGATGGGATTTTAATGCTTTTGACCACTTTTTTTTTCTTTCTCCATTTGCTTATGTTTCAAAATCTAACCTTAGAACAAGAACTGCAAAATATAGGTCAGCATTTTTTTTTTTTTACAGTTTATAGGTTTCATTAAGCAATGGAATTAACATAATCCTTTCCTAATTACCACAGCTACCGATGCTTATCACTTCTCTACTTGAGAATGTTTAAACTAAAGAAGGACCATGCTATGAAGTACTCCAGATCTCTGATGGAATATTTTAAGGTAATCTTTATTCAGTTTAATTTATTGATATGAAATGAAATTCATACCAGCACTGAGAGCTCTCACAAGTATAACTGCATGACTTACAAGTCTGACATTCAACCTCTACCCTGGGAAATGCTGGCAGGGTGACTGCCAGGGAGTGGGGACAGAAGTGATTTGGAGTATTTTTGGATTTGTCACTTGATTCAAAGGACCATACTCAGTAATTCTACTAAAATAACATTATTCTCAACACCATGTAATGTTTATGCAAGTTTCTGTAAAGGAAACTGATTATTTCAAGAGTTCAATGTGCAAGTGATTATGAACCCCAATGAACCATAATAAAGCAATTATTTAGGCTTTAGTTAGTTAAATTTAGATTTTAAATTCCGTGAGATTTGCTGAAGCTTATTGCAGACTCAGAGTTTTCTCATTTTATTTCTGTTCATCTTCAAATTGCCTTACCCACACCTTGAAAGTTTGCCTTTACCTTGAATCGAGTGGAGATCAGCTGATTGTCATGACTCGGTGAAGTTTTCCTTTGCCTTGTCAAATGCTGTTTACCCAGTGTAAGAACAACAAGTCCTCACCATTCCTAAATGGAGAGAAACAGAATCTTTCTTCAGCTCTGCCAAGGTTTTGATATTTATATTTCACTGGTTAATGCTGTTTGAAGCATACATTCATTCTTGTACTTTATTACTACATATTATTCTGTAATTATGTAATTATACTGGTTTGTCAGCCCATCAGTCTTTTTTTGTTGTTTTTTTTTCAGCCTCTGTGAATTTGTTCCAGGCTTTGACATATTAGTACCACAAACCAGTAAAACTTTAACACTGCCGTTTTAATATTTTTGTGTAAATGGTGATAAAATGCTGCTGTAAAACTCCAGTACTATCATGCTAGCAACCATCACTGAGTCCTGACTTCCTTGGCGTCCTCTGTGTGTGTGTGTATATCTGTAACTTCAGTAATGTTACTCCTGATCTCCTGTACTCGTTAGGAATGCCTCTGTTGTAGTCACAGTTTTCAGTCAGAGATTTGCACAACAAATTAAATTTGAACTAGACACACTTAGAGCCTCAGCATTTTGATGCAGTGTAGTCCATCCACTTCAGATTTTACCCAGGATGAATGCAGATTGTCTCTTAGAAAAATGGTTATTAGACAAATTATTTGATAAACTTTTTCTGCAGAAAGTAATGTTTTCTTAAAAAAAAAAAAAAAAAAAGGGACAGGAGGGGCTGTCTCTTCCATTAAAGCCACTTTACTGTCTCTAGCTGTGCAAACGGGTACAATGAAGAACATATTACTACTCCCAGCATAAGACTATTTTGCTGTGTCCACACAGAGAAAATGTCTTTTAATGTAAATGAAAAAGAGAAAAAAATGTAAAACAATAAAATAGACAAATCACGAATGCTGGTTTTGGGCATCTAGTTGAAGCTGAGTATTTCAGCTGCTGTTACTGTGTGTATGCTATGGGCACTGTGACTCATTTGCTAGAAGTAGTGGTTGGGTGTGTACAGATTATATGTTCAGGATCTTTTTGCAGTGAAGGCATAGGAGGAGAAAAAAAAAGAATGGGAGCTGTTAACTAGATACTAGTTTTGTGTCGCTGCACAATGTTCTCTGTGTTCATTAGCAAGAATCTGTAATACAAATGAAATAGATCAGCTATTTGAATAGAGTTGTTCTTCAAAATTTTGCACAATTTTAACTGTGAAAAGCAGCCCCCTGTTTACAGCGGAGGAATATTTTGGCAGAATTGTTTTTCATATTTTTCCTCACAAATGCCACTTTGTCCAAATTGAAACCATTTGTGGACAGAACTGCTTCTGATTAATTTCTAATTAAAAGTTTCAAATTTATATTTTTGACATTTCAAAAGAGAAAATAACCATTTAATCAAAAAAACCAGTTTTGAAACTTAGAAACAACTTAGAGTAAAATATAACTAAAATGATAGTTTTTTAAAATTGAAATAAAACATTTTAAGATTAACAGAAGTGGCATCCTTTGATGAATTTCACCTAAAAGTTTGAGGAAGATTTTTATGTTTTTAAAATGTGTTGTCAATAGTCATTGGCAAAAATATTTAAAATATTTTCATTGTCAAATAACTACCTCCAATCCAGATCTAGTCTTAATCTTGACAGGTCTAGTGTTTGTCTCCAGATACTGTTGGGAAAAACCTGCAGGAGTAGACACTAACATCAAAGCTGCTTCTTCATCCCTGAGGGCTTTCCAGGGGAGTTTAGGATCTCTCTCCTTCTTATATATGAGTGGGTGGCAAAAATATACACTACATACGTTCTGTGCTACAAAACACTCCATTGCATGCTCGAAACACGGCAGCATGCTGAATAGGAGCATACAGGCAAGGCCACTGTCATGTTTTGGGCAGTGTTTTCTGCTTTGGTCAGTCCTGTTTGGCAAGTTTAGCTGTGTTTTAGAAGTCAAGGGTAGGATTTTGCTCCCAGAGTCAGCTGCATGACCTTGGGCCGTGACCTGGACTGCTCTGTGCTCCGCTGAATCTCTGTGCCTCACATGCAAACTAGCAATTACAGTAACCAGATGAATCCTGTAATAATGACAGTAATACTTTGCAGAGAACTTGTAAAATTTGATTGTATTTTCACTGTGCATGCTGACTTCTTTGCAAGGAGCTCAGAATGATTGTTTTCAGAAAACACACAGAGATAGCTTCAGCCCTGATACTACCACTTTTTATGGGAACTAGGTAAGACGCCACCCAGTTAGAGCAAGACTGGAAAAATCTGGGCTTTATTGTTGCTGGGCAATCTTTTTGTGCAGGGCTGTACAAGGTGCTACACAGACGTGAAAGGCAGAATGAGTAAGCAGGTAAGGAAAGACAATTTGTGCAAATAAAATACACAAAAACAGAGGCATTCAAGCAGATCCTTACTAGAAGTTTTATTTCTAGTACTATCTGAATCCCAAGACATCTTCCCTAGCAACTTGGGAGGGATTAATTTCATTAAGGCATCAACCCAAATTCTTTTTATCTTTTATTGAAAGATTGCAGGTCCCCCTAAAGATAAGAAGTCATTTGCAGTCTGAAGAACTTACTTTGTAGAATAAGTTCCAGTGGTAATTACACCACTTCTTTGTGAACTGCATCTGCTTTTACTGGAACTTTACTGTATTCCCTCTTTCATCAAATTACTTTCAAGCTACTGGTTGAAACCTACCAATCATCCAGTTAATTATAGGACTGACGTGCAGAGCTGTTCTGCTACATGTACTGCAGCTCTTGCAACGAAAACAGGGAGTGTTGAGCGTTGTGTCATCAGTATTCACGTATTTGTGTCATCTTTATTTACATTTTGGTTTTGTACTTACAGAACTCTTCAAAAGCCTCACAGGCCCCCTCACCTTGGGGCGGCAATGGAAAGTGAGTATTTTCTGCTGAGTACTTCTGTCTGGGAACAAGTGGTTCCAAGAGGGGGGGAAATGTTTCGGTGCCTCTAAAGGCAAAGGATAGGCCGTGACTCAGTGGTTTGGGATGTACAGGTATGTTTCAAATATGTAGCAGGCAGAAAATGTTCTTATGAGCTACAGAATTGATCTTACAGCTGCCTTGGGCTTGGTGGGAGTGAGGGGCTCCCACTAGGCTAAATCAGGTACCCATGTGAGCCATCCAGTGAGGGTGGGAAGGAAGAGCTGAAACACACCTTCATCTTTGTGCAAAGCCCCCTTAAGTCTAAAATCAGCTGTGGTGGGTCTCTGCTGACTTCTTTGACAGTTTGCTTCTCAAATCAAATGAAGGCCATAAAAATATCTGTTAATTAGCTAGCAAGTAGCATGTCATTTCAGGAAGCCAAAGTAAAGTTAACGTTCATTGCAATGATTTTTCAATGATTCGTTCAGTAATGAAAGACCAATGAATATTTCATTGATATATGGTAAGTGCTGTTTCATAAAACTGAAGGTGTAATAGTGGTGAAAATGTGAAGGCACTTAGTCAACCAATTATCAGTGGCTTTATACCAACGTTAAAATACCCCCGCCTCAGATATGAAGTCAGAGTAATGCAATTATGATCTACTGTCAAATGAAGGTGCATTGCTGCTGCAGCCTTGCCTTTATCTTGCGATGTCTGTTGCCATCTGACACACATTTCTCCGCCTCCTTTCTCCTGGCCGCGCATACAGATAACAGGTAAAACAAGGGAGAAGGACTTTACGTTTCTTTCCTTCTCTATTTCAGTAGGCTGAATTCTAGGTCAAAATTATTATTGTTAATGGTCTCTTTCTGGTGGTTCATAAGAAGAAATGAGTACTAGAAACTCCAAGGAAACAAAATAATAAAACTGTAGAAGGAGTTGAAGTTTAGCACACAAAGAATTGAAGTTTTCAAACAGACTTTGTTCTGAATCAGTGCAAAACCAAAAATTCCAAAACCAAAAACATTTTGCTTAAAGGAAAATATTGTCATAGAGAATTCAAAATATTTTGGGGTGTATATGTGTGTATATATATATACACACACACACACCAAATACACAAAATTATTTAAAATACATAAGTGTATATAGATGTTTAAGTAAAGATTATAGCACAAACTAAAGTGACAAAATATAAAATCACTTTAAATAAAAACCAAAAAGATATTTTAACATTGGGAAAGCAACTACTAAATAAAATTATTCAATATGTGCCAGTTTTTCAAGGCATTTTAATGTCAGTGAAACCTTGTATTGCAATAAAAATATGGTAAGGTTTACATGAAGTTTTAGTGCCAAAATAGACCACTGGAGCATTACACCTCTTTTGTTCCATAAGAAGTGGATTGTACCTAAGAAACTTCATGGAGCAGAAGTTATCCTTTTATTCCTGTCCCATAATAGAACCCTATGAAGTGTGTGCTCTGCAGGTGATGGTATCTCCCTTGCTATTTATAAGAGCTGATTAGGTGCCCAGGACTTAGAATCAGTGGGGTTTGACTGAAGGAGAAAATTGTTGTCCTGCCACAAGGTAGGGAGCAGAAACCCAGCATTCAAGTCAGCATCACTTGTAACATAATGCCCAGCTGATCAGTCTCTTCCCACTAACTTGGAAGATAAGGAAGGAAAGCTCTGAAAGTGCACACCTCTCTCTTTTATTCAGAGAAGGAAGCACTTGGCATGTAAGAATAACTGAGTATGACAAGGCCTTGTTATAACAGTGTTACTATGACACCTGTGACCCAACACACAAAGCCCGCAGTCCACGCTCAGGTCTTCTGTCCCCTTTGTCTGGAGTCTCAGAAGAAAAACTCTTCAGCTGGCTCAGAGTTGCTGTATATCCCAGCTGTTTCCTGGTGGTCCCAAGCATTGTCATAGGCCTGGTGCTGCCACTGGCAGCATGCACTTTGCTTTCCCCAGGGCTACTCGCTCTACAGTTTCCTCTTATTCCCATGCAAATTTGTACCAGATGGGAAGAGAAGTCACACACCACAGAGGAAAGACCAAACACCGTCAGGGTATGGCACCACTGGAGACAGATCAGCAGCCTGGTTCAGAATGGGGAGACAGCAGGTTATTCTTAAATCTTTTTTTGAACACAGCAAAAAGTTATGCATTGCCATGAAGTGTAGTCTGCTCAGGATCTCAAATGATCAAAAATCTCAGCTTGGCTTACTGGAATTTCTGGCCATTTTTGTTTGAAAGGTTGTGAACCTCTACAAAGTTGGCCTGAGTTCCAGGCTGGCAATGAAACAAATTTTCCCTGGTTTCATTACAGAAATGTTTCCCACCTCTAGTGGCAGAAAGCACAAAATAGAGAGATTTAATAGACTCACCACAGTAATAATGGCTGTGCACAACAGGGTAAATCCAATGAACAATGTGCTTTATTTGGCAGAAGTGCGTCAGCTTGTTGTAAGTGGCTCTAACAAAATACTCCTGGTCTCCTCAGATACTTATGATTTTTAACTGCTCCCAGACCTAATCTAGTGTAGTTCAGCTCTTCTGTACATTAAAGACACTGTGGCGTGTCAAGTAACCAGGATGTTTTGAGACTTAAAAATAAAATATTTGTGCCATAGGATATGCTCAAACTATAACACATAAGCTGTGTAAAAAGCTACTAGCTGCTGAGTTAACGTGGTCTCTAGCTCTGGAAAAAGAATGTCTCACAGGAGCCTGTTGTTGAGCACAGGTAATAGCAGGGCACTGCTAGAAAATCTGCAGCAAAAGCTGTTGCCATAAATGCCTTTCAGCCCAAGGCTGTGCTGTGGTGGCAGCCTGTTCTACAGCACCTGCAAGTTGTCAGCACAGCAGGTCTATGCCCACGCTTCATGTTCAGGACCATTGACGGTGGCTTGTAAGGCCTTTCTGTCCCGGGGTTGGACCAGGCCCATAACGAGTCTGAGTGAGCTTGATGCTGTTGCACAGCATGAGGCATCCGTGGCCACCTGTCAAGAGAGAGGTGGCAACGTCCCCATTTGGAGAGTTTTGGTGTCTTTGCTTCATGCAGGAGCATCTCAGCCCTGCGTTTCATGTGTATTCCACAGCAAACAGAATGCATTTGTTTAGGTAGGTGGTTCCAAATGGGGGCAAGAGAAGAGATTTTTGGAACCCTTAACCTTGTTCGCTGAAACATAATCATCACGGAAACATGGTGGGATGACTCATACAACTGGAGTTCTGCACTGGATTGCTATAAACTCTTCAGAAGGGATAGGCAAGGAAGGAGAGGTGGTGGGGTAGCCCTGTATGTTAGGGAGTGTTTTGGCCTGTTTAGGAGCCTGGTTGACACAGTCCTTTGGGAGGCAGTCCTGAAGGGCAAAGAAGTCCAGGAAGGATGGACATTCTTCCAGAAGGAAATCTTAAATACGCAGGAGCAGGCCATCCCCATGTGCCAGAAGACAAGCCAGTGGGGAAAAAAAACTGGCCTGACCAGAAAGCTTTGGCTGGAACTCAGGAAAAAAAGGAGAGTTTATGACCTTTCGAAGGGGCAGGCCACTCGGGAGGACTACAAGGATGTTGTGAGGTTGTGCAGGGAGAAAATTAGAAAGGTCAAAGCCCAACTAGAACTTAATCTGGCTACTGCCATAAAAGACAATAAAAAATGTTTCTGTTAATACATTAGCAACAAAAGGAGGGTTAAGGAGAATCTCCATCCTTAATTGGATGTGAGGGGAAATACAGTGACAAAGCATGATTAAAAGGCTGAAGTACTTAATGCCTTCTTTGTCTCAGTCTTTA